TACCTCGGTGTCCTGTTTATCCACCTGCTCCCAGCTGGCTTCAGAGAAAATCTCTGTGCTGCAGCGAGACAAGCAGTTCTGATCCAGATTGCTTTCCGAGTCGGGATTTGAGGTCTGTTGGCAAACAAACACAGCTGAACAGGCCCTGCACGCACACCCGTTTCCGCACGAACCAGAAGGAGACAGCCGGGAAGGGGGGAGCGGTGCACCTCCTGTTGGGCTCAGCGAGGCTGTGCTTGGACCGGAGGGGCTCAGGCCAGACGTACTTACATCCCCGGGGATTTCGGTTGTGCCAACACGGACAAGAATTCTATCTGGGGATGGGACTAACTATGCCGTTCATGTGGTAGTTTGTGTGTGTAATGGTGTACGACCGTCCTTTGGGAAGATGCACACTAGGGATGTTAAATATCAGTTACTGAACAGTCGATTAGCCTCGTGAATTCTTATCGGTTAGTCGACTAGTTTATAATTCCCAGAGGTGGGGCCAACAGCCCAGTCCCACTTCCAGGGAGCCCCCCGGCCAATCCGCACTGCTGCCTCTGGATCAGGGCAGGATGCCAGGTGGGAGGTGGTCCGTGAAAGGACTCAGTTGAAAAAACAGCTCCCCTCGCAAACCAGCTGCCTATCACCCAGTGCTGCTGCCTCGGATACAGAGGCAGCAACGCAGGGTGGCAGCAGCCCCTGTCCAGGGCAAGAGCTGAGCTCCCAGACCCAGTGTGAGCCAGAACCGAGCCAGGCTACTTGCCCACCTGGCTCCTAATACACTTTCAATACAGAGCCGCAGCGGGGGTAGGTCCTTGACCCGGCGCGAGTCAGAACTCAGCCAGGCTACTGGCCAGCCTGCTAAAAAATTTACTGGCCAGGGGGAGAGGGGAATGCGTGTTGTCTACAGCATTAACCGATACGTTATTGGTTAATCGACTACACTATTACATCCCTAATGCAGAGGAAGGAGTTAAGAGGTCATTTCCGCAAGCAAGCCTGATGCTGCCTCGCCAAGGAGAATTTTATTTCAACTTGTTTCGGTCAAGGGAGACACATTCCGGCTCTTCCAGACCTTTCAGTGCCAGCCTCTGAGGTGAGGCTAGAGTGCAGGACTGTAACGACCGGGTAGAGACTAGAACCCAGGTCTGTAAAGGTACTGAGGTGCCTCACGATGCGGAAAGGCGCCTACAACGATACTAGGTGCCTAACCCTTGTTTGTTTCAATCTGCCTATAGGGTACACACGGGGAAGGCCCTCCTCTCGATAAGAATGCTCTGAATTGAGGCAAAGGACCACAGTTCCGTCAGCAACCCAAGCTCCAGTTCACGAGAGAAGATCACTTTAGATGATGCTCAGCAGACCTTCCATTTAGCAGTTATTATATTAGAACATGAGAACAGCTGTACTGGGTCAGACCAAAGGTCCATCTAGCCCAGTACCTTGGTTTCCGACAGTGGCCAGCACCAGGTGCCCCAGACGGGGTGGACCGAAGACAACGATCACCTCTGACAAACAGAGGCGAGGGACACCATTTCTATCCCCTGGCTAATAGCCTTTTATGGACCTAACCTCCATGAAATTATCTAGCTTCTCTTTAAAACTCTGTTATAGTCCTAGCCTTCACAGCCTCCTCCGGCGAGGAGTTCCACAGGTTGACTACGCGCTGTGTGAAGAACAACTTTCATTTATTAGTTCTAAACCTGCTACCCATTAATTTCATTTGGTGTCCTCTAGTTCTTCTATTATGGGAACTAATAAATAACTTATTAATAAATATTGTCATTCGCCGCAACCTGCGCGGCCCCTGAAGTCAATGCAAACCTCTCCCAATGTTCTCTCAATCAAACCCCCTTGATGCTTCCAGCGAACGCTTCTACACATTGCTCCTGGGGGAATTCTACGCTAACACACAAGGAGGAGGTGGTGCAGAATTCATGTTCTGTCCACCCATGCCCACTGTTGTCATTAAATCCAGCCAGGATATATCCGGCATCAGTATGCAGGAGGGTGAAGGAGAGGAAAAGGAGAAGTAGGAGGAGGAGGAGGAGGAGGAGGAGGCGGCCAGTTCCCGACAGCTGCAGCTCCTGGCATGCCCTGAAGGAAGGAGGCAGTGTGAAATTTGGAGAAAATTGAATTTTTGTTTTAAGTATCACGGCATTTTATTATTTTTGTACTTTTTACACCCAAAAATTTCATCACAGTCCAGTATTTGAGCTTTCGGTCCGGGAAATAAACTGAGAAAATACCGGACATATAAATGTCCAGTATTTTCTAATTAAGTAAGTTTTATTATTATCAAGTTATGATGTGACTTGTGCGCGAGTATTCTCTTTCTAGGCCTGCACTATGCACTACTATGCCGATTTGCTGCTTGGATACACATATCAGTACGTAGCTGCGTACTGCCTAGCTGATAGACATGCTCATGCCGTGTGAGCGTGTCTACCATCAGGCAGTACGCAACTATGCAGTAATCTTGAATATTTTCCTTTATAAACATACGATTCGCGACAGTGTTGTCCTTTGTCTAGCTTTCATCTTTCTCGTATCTCGCCACGCTCTTTTAAGCTAAGGAATTTTTTTCAGCAAAGAACCTGCTGCTCCAAATTTATTAAAACTGGTTCAATGTTTTGTTTCAATTCCTGTGTCAAATGCCGGAGTGGAAAGAATTTTTAGTGTCATGGGTAATCTATGGACCGATGAACCCAACAGATTGAGTGTTGAGTAGGTAAGAAGTCAAGTTGGTGGGTTTTTTAATACACCTTTCACTTGTTTGGAAGCAAAAGATAAGTTTTCGATGATTGTGGCAAAAACCACTCGCCATCCCCGTACTGCGCATGCGTGAGATCCGCACTGAGCATGCGCGAACGGCCAGTGAACGGGGTGACCGGTTGAAATCTACTTGCCACGGGCGAGTAGATAAGCGGATTTGTCGAGCCCTGGTAATATAGATTGTCGTCAATAAACTTCCCGTATCATGTATGGTTTTTTTTGGTCCGGTATTTTTGTTGAAACCATCTGGCAACCCTAGATGCGGGGCACCTCTCTAGGGGGTGCAGATGTCTGGACTGGAGGTCTGCGGGGCTGGTGTTTAGGCTTGGGGGACAACCCGGGGCTGTCCCGGCTCTGGATGTATCTAGGCTCTGGATGGGCTGTTATTGTCTATATTATAGACAGAGTTACTGACAAATATTTTGAAATAAATTACCAAAATAACTCACCCACACTGGTGCGATGCTATAATGTCATTTTGACACATGAAATTTGGAGCATTTAAAAATACGGTGGGCAGAATTTTAAATTTTTCGCACAGAACTCCCCGCAGGCGTACAACACGCAAGCATTGTAAATGGAAACCTTTTGCAAGTCGATAGCTGTAGGAAATATACACTCTCGATGCGTACTGTGAAAGTGCTCATATGGGATCAATATCCCAGCATCCTCTGCACTGCTCGAAGACGTGGGCCCCTGCCCCAAGTTTACAATCTGAGAATTCCTTTATGCCTCCCTGCCTATCCTCGCCCGTCCCATCTCCCCGCCATTCCTTCACTTCCCCCGTCCCCCGGCTCAAAACAAAAACTGTGTAGACACACTGCAATTAGCCTCAGTCTACAGCCTGGCCAAGATGGGTGTCAATCAGGGCCGTCAAGCAATTAAAAAATGAACGATACGTTTTTAAAAAAAGTCACGATTCTTCACTTTTCATCATGCTGTTCAACAACAGAATACCAACATCTGTAGATGTTTTTTGACTTTTTTAAATATGCCGATTTCAATCGTAAGCCAGAATACCAAGGGTGCAGTGCTTGTTTTATATTATTTTTATTACACACAGCTGCACCGTAAAAAAAAAAAAAGATCAAAATATACAAGTCAGCGCATGAAAGGGCGTACAAATGGTTAGCATCGGCTGGCACATGAATGCCATCCGACATGGGCTACAATAATGCTTTGCCAACGCTTGGTCTTACTTTCCAATGAAAGTGTTGATAAAAAACGGGCCACATTCTCTCCGTGAATGGAAACAAACGTGTGTGAGTAATCGACTGATCAAGAAGTAGGACTGTAAGGACTAGTAGGCTGTAAGGCCTGGCCTATGCTAGACCAGGGAGGTCAAATTAAGGTAGGCCATCCAACAAAATGCATACCCAGATTTGGCTTATCTTAAACCGAGCCGCCACAGTGTCTACACTGTGGGAAGCCAATGGGAGCACACGCTTCCCTTCCTCCTCACAGCTCGATGAGTACCTGATGCCAGCAGGGGCTGCCCTCAGCATTCGATTTTGGGGGGGATCTACAAATGATCTACTAAAGCGAATGCTAGAAGACTGACCTTCGGAGGGCTGATCTTCTCTATAGAGTACGTTGTTTTTGAGTACAATTACGTGAAAAAAAATCTACATTTGTGATTTGCACTTTCACGATAAAGAGACTGCATCTGAATGTGAGACCAGCATGCCCTTTCAAGCATGACTGAGATGCTTTATTTTTTTTTTAAGTTGCCGTTACCAGAATTCACTGGCTAACCAAAGAGCTGACTCAGCATTGTGGATTCGAGAAACATCAGGAACCACTCCACGCCTGTCGGTGTTCCACTTACCACGTCATCCCCATAGTCGCCGTTGAAACGGAGCGAGCTATTTAGGTTCTGGCTCTCCAACCGGCTCTTCAGCTCCTGCACTTGCTTCTTCAATATTTCCACCTCCTGCAGGTGCCCCGTTTCGATCTGCCGCAGGCGCTGCTGGATAACGTCGGTGTAGACCGGCATCCCATCATCGTCCAGGTGGCTCCGGGCGGGCTGATCTGGGCTGCTGGCGGTCGGTTGCTTCCCAGAATGGCCATGCGCCCACTTATGGGGCACGTTCCTCAAGTGAAACTGAGCTGAACTACAACTAGCTGCCGAGATCTGCCGGCTCAGAGAGACTTTGATCCGCTCATCTTCTCCGTTCATACAGTGTCCATTGGTCGCAGGGTATTTCGGGGTAATACTAAACCCTGGAGGTTTCTCTGTCACTTTGTTCTCAGTTTCCAGCTCCCCGTTACACACAATCTCATCGTTACATTCGGCGAAAGGCAAGGCACTAGGGGAAGGCGTTGAGCTGCGGGTGTGGTTGCCATTAGAAGTCCTGTTTACTTTCGTTCCCATTCTGTGTCGCTCTACCATGGTGTCCCCGTCGGGTTTGTTTTCGGACGTTTGAGAAAGCGCCTCCACACCATTGTCCACCCCGTGAAATCCGGGGCCAGGGTCTCTCTCCATCAGCTCTTGCTTTGCTCCATGCTCTGTGAGGGTTTCGGTAGAACTGTCCACGTTGGACGTTTTCACTTCATGGTGGATCAGGCTGGGCTCTGGGGTGCTAAAAGGGCTCTCTGTTTCTACGTGACGCCTACTAATCTCTTCTTCCACGTCCTCCACCCGACTGACAGTCCTCTCCAAGGGGACAGAGTGGAGTTCTTTCGCCAGAGGGAACGTCTGGCCAGCGTGACCTATGTCCACAGGCTCCTCCTCTTGTCCTTTCAGCTCTGAAACACCTTGTGAAACTGGATGTGGCTTGGACACTGGATTGTTTATTAAAGTGTCTGTATCCACCTCCGTCTTTTCACAGTGGCCATCGATATACCCATCAAGATTTTCAGTTCTGGTCTCCTTGCCCAGGATAATTTCTTCTTCCTCTTTGCCCATTGTCTCCAACGTGCCCCTCAAGAGCTCCTCCAGACCAACATCCTCTTTCGTGGCCTCTTGCAAAATGTTCTCCATTTGTCCCTCGGCCACGCCGGCTGCGACGGAAAGCTCTGCCCCCACCAGAGCCCTGCCGGCTTTGTCCTCACCGGGGCTGCCCAGGCTGCTCAGCTCCAGCCACCTTCTGTGCTCCTGCCACTTTTCGTTGAGGCTAGGGTCGCTGCTGCGTCGGTTCGCGGTAGGCACGTTGCTGTCGCAGGCTGTGGTCAGATTGTCGAACGATCTTGTCTTTGGTAGCCTGCGCAGGTACAAAACAATCAGAATCCAAAGTTAATCAGTGACTGTTGATTACAAAGGTTTTCAGTAAGCTCCTCCCACTTGCATAGAATCATAGCAAACCAGAACTGAAAGGGACCTCAAGAGGTCGTCTAGTCCAGTCCCCTGCCCTCATGGTAAGACCAAGCCTCATTTGGACCATCCCTGGTAGATGTCTACAGAATCCTAGAATACTAGAACAGGAAGAGACTTCAAGAGGTCATCAAGTCCCACCCCTTTCCTCATGGCAGGACCTAGCCCCATGTAGACCAGCCCTGATAGGTGTCTATCTAACCTGCTCTTAAATATCTCCAGCGATGGCGATTCCACAACCTCTCAGCAATTTATTCCAGTATTTAACCACCCTGACAGGTAGAAACTTTTTTCTAATGTCCAACCTCAACCTCCCTTGCTGCAAAGTTTCATCCCCTTGCTTCTTCTCCTATCTTCAGAGGCCAAGATTTAAATAATCGCGGCTTCATTTAAATTTAAATGGCTGCCGAGCTGAGCCGACAAACAGCCGATCAGCTGTTTTTCG